CGCTCCGGGAAGCGGCCACACCATGCCCCTGCAGCCCGTGGGGGTGGGGCGGCAGAGAGCGCCGCACTCTGCTCTTGCCTGTGGGTACCTCCCCCAAAGCTCCTATTGGCCAGGAACGGGGTACCACGGCCAATGGGAGCTTCAGGGGAGGTATGCACAAGTGAGGGAAACACGCAGAGCCCTCTTCGCCTCCCCCATCCCTGTACCCCCAGGGGCCACAGGGACATGGTGCTGACTGCTTCCCGGAGTGGCACAGCGTGGGGCTGGGCCAGGGCGGGCAGGCAGGCAGGGAGCCTGCCCTGGCCCTGGTGAGCTCCACTGCCACCCCGGAGCCACTCTAGGTAAGCGGCGCCGGGCTGGAGCCCAAACTCCTCCTACACCCTGCCCCCCAACTCCCTGCCCTAAGCCCCCTGCAGCACCCCACACCCCAACTCCCTGCCCTGAGCCCCCTGATGCATCTGGCACCCCCCCAGTACCCCAACTCCCTGCCCTGAGCCCCCTGCCACCTCCTGCACCCCTTCTGCACCTCAACCCCCTGACCTGTGCCCCCTCCTGCACTCCACACCCCTCCTGCACCCTAACCCCCTTCCCTGAGCTCCCTCACCCCTCATCCCGCACCCCTCCTCTGCCCCAACCCCTTGCCCTTAGCCCCTTCCTGCACACCACACCCCCTCCCACCCCCTACACTCCACCCCTACACCCGAACCCCCTGCCCTGGCCCTGCAAGCAATTTCCCCACCAGATGTGGCCCTCGGGCCAAAAAGTTTGCCCACCTCTGGTTTATTCTGTTCTAAGAACTGATTTACTGGGTGGGCATTGACCATATAAGCTTATTAATTGTTTACAGTTGTCAGTGTCCTTGCTTCTTAGCAGTTTCTGTCTTTTCTGCTGGCTGAATTGTAGCTCCTTCCTTACTCTTAGTTAATAAATCCTTAGATAATTTACTATAGGATTGGCTACAAGCATTATTTTTGGTGTGAGATCTGAGGTACAAATTGACCTGAGGTACGTGACTGGTCTCTTGTGACTGGAAGCAACCTGAATATTTTGTGATCTTTGGTGTATAGCGACCAACTATCACTAAGTCCATCTTGCCTGGCTGGCAAAATAGACTGGAATGCCCAAAGGCACTATCTGTAACTCCATGGTAAGACTGTTACAGTGTTTTAGGAGTTCACACTTGTTACCAGATTGGTGAAATCTAATTATAGAGCATACAACCAGTTTGGGGTCTCTACCTTGCTTCTTGACAGTCTGCCCTGAAGTTGGCACTCATGGTCATCAGCCACTCCGGGCAGCATGACAGAAGTACTGGAGGAATCCTCCAGGCTCACTGCTACCTCACACAAGTAGACCAGTACATAGCAGCTACTGTGCAGCCACCCAGCTGGACTTCTGAGATTTTCCCCATATTTGAACCCTGTGTTAAGTGACAAAGAGATTAAAACCTTAAAAGGGGCTCAAATATATATTTTAGCTGTAACAGGGCAAAGAGTTTTATAGAAATTAATTTCCTCTCCTTCCCCACCCAGATAACATACTCCAGCACTTCTGGGAGGCACTGCACTTCATACAGTAGCAGGAAACCTTGTGGCCATCACATGTAAGTTTAAATTGTATTAGAACAATATTGTTCCAAAAAAACTTTTGCTGTGGCCTTCATATTGCCCTCCATTTTGAAGGATTCCAGAAAACAAACCCAACCAACTTGGGGTTTTCTCATACTTATGGGATTTGATTTTCATATGGAGTAGTACTGATATTATAATAATAATATTTTGAGTTCCTTGGAGGAAAAGTACCATTTGCAAAGCACTTTACAAATATGGATTGTGTCTGATTTTTGTCTCAGTGCAATCTACATTCACTGTGGAGTTATAAACTGGATAACAGTTAAAGACTTTGGTAGTACATTTGCACACTTTTTATTCTATGGGAGAAGATTTATGAAGTTTGCTTTAATGAAGAGCAAACTTCAAACCAAATCATTGATACTTGTGACTTGTTCCCTTCAAAGAGCCTTTCTTCTGCCACACTTGATTAATGCATAAAATAATTGTGACACTGTCCACAGTGGAGGCGCACAGTTTTGTATGAGAACGCCAAGCAGGAGCCTAAACTCTCTGCACTTCGCTGGATACTGCTTGTCTAACACAAAACTAGCTTCGGTCAATGAAATTAGTTGGTATGAGAAAGGTAAGAAGGATTCGGCCCAGTGTCTCATGCTTCTGATTACTGAGTGGAATAGCGTGAAGGTGCTCCCATCCGCTCATGGGGAGATCCAGGGTCCTCCTTCACCTCAGAGGTGATTCAAACCTTGTTGAATCTGTTACATGTTAACCAAAGTTGCATTCTTCAACGATCATCATTTAAATGAAAGTTGCATGAAAGATTATTTTACTTCCCGATAGGTATCCTTTAAAACATAAAATTAGCGATATAACTGCTTAAAAGTGAAAACCCGAGATTAGGCAAATAATTCAGGGATGTGCTGTCCTAATGGTAAAATGGTATTATTGTGATAAGGGAAAATGGGATTGAGGGTTCTAACTACCCATGTGAAATATACACAAGAAGCCATGTTTCTGTACTGAGTGTCACAGCCTCACACCCACTGCAGTGCATCCTGGTGAGTCTCAGAGAAAGACTAGCTCCTGACCAGTCCTTCTGCACCATAGGACCACTATTTTGCACCCCAATCTTGTTTAGGGGAAAGGTCTAAAAATAGCATCACAATATGTGTGTCCTTGCTCATGCTGCCTTCCTGGTATGTAGGTCATCCAAACAAGCACACAGACCAATTAGTTAGAATTTAAGGCCCAGTCTTGCAGTCACATAACTAAACCTTACTCAAGTAACTAGGTCCGTTGATTTTGGTCTTGTCTCCCTGGGAAGGCTCTGTAGTGACTGGATGCCTTTATTAAGCACTCAAGATGCCCACCCCTTCACACAGGATGTAAGGGCTCACATTGAACATATTTGAGATCCCTAAGAAAGCCTCTAGCAAGACCAGGCCTGATATTCCTGATGGGAAGGGGAGGGAAGCAAAAGAAAAAAACAAGCACAATCTTTCAAAGACAGACATGTTTATGCTTGACATTGCTGTGACTTCAGGGGGACTACTCCACAGTGAGTAAAGTGAAACATGCATAAATCTTTGCAGGACTAGGTCAATGTTTTTAGTCTGGGGGGAAAACCACTACCAATCACCTTCATCACATATAGAAGTAAAATTCTTCAAACTTCTTTGTAGGTCCCCTTTAAAGGACTGTAGCCCATTATCTTGAAAAAGACTACAATTTCTATTATAAAAAGCATTAAAAAAATTCTACGGTAACATTCTCAAACACTGCAGTGCACAATACAACTGCGGCAGTGTTTGGGGCAATTGCTGTAGAAAAGGATAGTATTTTTTGTTGTTTGTTGTATTATGTTGGGAGGGGTCATACAACCTGACACTGCAGAGAGATGAAAGGAAACAAACAACAATACAATTAGGTTGAAATCAAACAGGGAGAGGAAACATGCAGAAGCTGTAAAGACCATTTCTACTCTCCTTTAGAATGCTGGCATTTTTTTGAACTACCTAATATTAATTTGAGCTTTAGGAAAAATACACCATATAAAAAGGGTTATATTCACAAGGGCCTTCACCTCTGAACATCTACATTGAAGCCTACTTTTACTGTGGTTGAACACACCTGTGAACAATCATGTTAGATGACCAAATGCTGACTATGATTTAATGGTTGGTGGAGATCAGGATTTAATCAGTTAGCTACCTGATGCTGAGTGCAATTTACTGTGGTCTGCACTGACTGCTAAACTGTAGTCAGCTCTTCACAGCCATGTTCAAACACTGTAAAACTGTGTCATGTAGACAAGGCTTGTAGGGCTAGAGCTCTGGATTATAAAAGTGTTCCTTAGCTGAACATATTTATACCCACGTACAGTGGTGATGCACAAAGTGAAACTTGCAGCAGACTGTTTTTTTTTTTTTTGAGGATCCATTGTAATTAAGCAGATCTGCAATGGAATATCTTGCAGGGCAGAGACAATGGATATGCTATTATTAGAGATTTTTTAAGGTTTCTGGAAATCTTTCCCTGCAAGTCTTTCGATAGGGAAAAGCAGCTTTGGAACTGTCTGTGCAGGAGAGACTGCTTGAAAAGTGCAATTTCCTTGCAGGAATTGCAGAGTCAGTACATTTTGTTCAGGAAATTAAATTGCCATAGCTGCAGTGCCCTATAAGGAAGTTTGAATAGGACTCTATTCACTATTCTGCCTCAGGAAGCATGTTATCCTGAGCAACTAACTTAATATGTCTGTGCCTCATCTGTAAAATGGAGATATTTCCTTATCTGATAGCACGGTTGTGAGGTTAAACCCTGGATTTGTGCTGGAAATGGCCCACCTTGATTATCACACACATTGTAAGGAGAGTGATCACTTTAGATAAGCTATTACCAGCAGGAGAGTGGGGTAGGGGGAGATAAAACCTTTTGAAGTGATAAACACCCATTTTTTCATGGTCTGTGTGTATAAAAAATCCTCACTGCGTTTTCCACTTTATGCATCTGATGAAGTGAGCGGTAGCTCACGAAAGCTTATGCTCAGATAAATTGGTTAGTCTCTAAGGTGCCACAAGTACTCCTTTTCTTTTTTCGAATACAGACTAACATGGCTGCTACTCTGAAATATATTCATGTATTTAGAATTCCGAAATTATGAGATTTCTGTGGCAGTCTTGCGTTAGAGAACTTGAGACAGCTCAGGGCTAGGACAATTAAGTTTATTGAAAATGATACTATTTTTCAGTGATATTTCTCATAAGAACTTTCATATGTTTTACTTTCAGGTCGCTAGGATCCTAAGGCAGACAGCCACCTCAGTAGGAAGACAGAGTGGAAGAAATGAGTAACTTCTGAAACGGGATGAAATTAAAATTTATATCTCCCTCTTTGGGACTCTGATGATAGATGTATGGTCACTGCTAGAAGATGCAGGATTTTCTACAGAATGTGACTGAGAATAATTCTACTGACTGCATCATTAATCACAGCATACACCAGACTTTATCCCCCACTATATACATATTTGTCTTTGTAGTAGGTCTCCCAGCTAACTGCCTCTCGCTGTACTATGGATACCTACAGATCAGGGCCAAAAATGAACTGGGGATCTATCTGTGCAATTTGACTATAGCAGACCTGTTCTACATCTTCTCTTTGCCCTTCTGGCTCCAGTACGTTTTGCAGCATGACAACTGGACCTATGACACAGATCTGTGCAAAATCTGTGGCATACTCCTGTATGAGAATATCTATATCAGTGTGGGCTTCCTCTGCTGCATCTCCATTGACCGCTATCTAGCAGTGGTACATCCTTTTCGTTTCTATCAGTTTCGGACAATAAAGGCTGCTGTGGTGGTGAGCATCATAATCTGGGGCAAGGAAATTCTGATGAGCTGGTTTTTCTTTAAGAAAGCTGAAATTAGTAAGGATGCAGAGAGTCATACAATATGCTTTGAACATTATCCCATCAAAAATTGGGAGCACAACATCAATTACTATCGCTTCTTTGCTGGCTTCCTTTTCCCCTTCTTCCTACTGCTCTTTTCTTACTGTGGCATTTTACGAGTTGTCTGCAAGAGCCATGGCACTCAAAAGAAGACAAAAATCCAAATTAAACGTCTGGTTTCAAGCACAGTTGTCATTTTCTTGGTTTGCTTTGGACCATACCACATCCTGTTGGTAATTCGCAGCTTGTTTGAGAAAAACTGCATGTTTGCAGGGAAAATCTTTAACATTTATCACTTTTCTCTCTTGTTGACTAGTTTTAACTGTGTTGCTGACCCAGTATTGTACTGCTTTTCCAGTGAGAGCACCTACCAGAATTTTGTCAAAATGAGAGACTCCAGTTTAACATGCTTAAGATGTTTAAAGACTAAAACCAAGGTATCCTACCAGCTGAAAACTCCAGAAACCCTCAGAAAAAGCAGCAGTGTACGAGCGGATGAAGAGCCAGAGTTATTAAACAAACTACATACTGTTAATGAAATGAAAGACTTTTCCATCGCCAGTATAGACAGACTTTAGCACCCATTAGAAAGGGAGACTGATCTAAAGTTTCCAGGTCTAAGTTTGGGCTTCAGTCTTTGGTTTATAAACGTATTGCAACTGCTTTACATTCTAAAGAGCTTAATAACTCATCAGTACTGTAAGCAGAGCTGAGCTGATACTCTTTCCACAGGGGAAATTCCTTAGTTCCCTTGAAGAAAAGGAGTACTTGTGGCACCTTAGAGACTAACCAATTTATTTGAGCATAAGCTTTCGTGAGCTACAGCTCACTTCATCGGATACATTCAATGGAAAATACAGTAAGGAGATTTAATGTTGGTGTAAAGGGCTTCTACATCCATAGTGGCTAGGATGGTGTTTTCAGGAAGATCACCGATGGATTGTAGTTTCCTCAGGAAGTCAGTGGTGTCTCGAAGATAGCTGGGAGTGCTGGTAGCGTAGGGCCTGAGGAGGGAGTCTACATAGCCAGACAATGTAGAAGCCCTCTACACCAAATTCCACACAAAGATGGACTACAAGCCGTCAGGAACAGTATCCCCGATAATGTCACGGCAAACCTGGTGGCTGAACCTTGTGACTTTGTCCTCACCCATAACTATTTCACATTTGGGGGACAATGTATACCTTCAAATCAGCGGCACTGCTATGGGTACCTGCATGGCCCCACAGTATGCCAACATTTTTATGGCTGACTTAGAACAATGCTTCCTCAGTTCTCGTCCCCTAATGCCCCTACTCTACTTGTGCTATATTGATGATATCTTCATCATCTGGACCCATGGAAAAGAAGCCCTTGAGGAATTCCACCATGATTTCAACAATTTCCATCCCACCATCAACATCAGCCTGGACCAGTCCACACAAGAGATCCACTTCCTGGACGCGACGGTGCTAATAAGCGATGGTCACATAAACACCACCCTATACTGGAAACCTACTGACTGCTATTCCTACCTACACGCCTCCAGCTTTCACCCAGACCACACCACACGATCCATCGTCTACAGCTAAGCTCTACAATACAACCGCATTTGCTCCAACCCCTCAGTCAGAGACAAACACCTACAAGATTTCTATCAAGCATTCTTACAACTACAATACCCACCTGCTGAAATGAAGAAACAAATTGACAGAGCCAGAAGAGTACCCAGAAGTCACCTACTACAGGACAGGCCCAACAAAGAAAATAACAGAACACCACTAGCCGTCACCTTCAGCCCCCAACTAAAACCTCTCCAACGCATCATCAAGGATCTACAACCTATCCTGAAGGATGACCCATCACTCTCACAAATCTTGGGAGACAGGCCAGTCCTTGCCTACAGACAGCCCCCCAACCTGAAGCAAATACTCACCAGCAACCACACACCAGAACCACTAACCCAGGAACCTATCCTTGCAACAAAGCCCGTTGCCAACTGTGTCCACATATCTATTCAGGGGACACCATCATAGGGCCTAATCACATCAGCCACACTATCAGAGGCTCGTTCACCTGCACATCTACCAATGTGATATATGCCATCATGTACCAGCAATGCCCCTCTGCCATGTACATTGGTCAAACTGGACAGTCTCTACGTAAAAGAATAAATGGACACAAATCAGATGTCAAGAATTATAACATTCATAAACCAGTTGGAGAACACTTCAATCTCTCTGGTCACTCGATTACAGACCTAAAAGTCGCAATATTACAACAAAAAGACTTCAAAAACAGACTCCAACGAGAGACTGCTGAAATTGGAATTAATCTGTAAACTGGATACAATTAACTTAGGCTTGAATAGAGACTGGGAGTGGATGGGTCATTACACAAACTAAAACTATTTCCCCATGTTTATTCCCCCCCCCCAACTGTTCCTCAGACGTTCCTGTTAACTGCTGGAAATGGCCCACCTTGATTATCACCACAAAAGGTCCCCCGTCCCCCCGCTCTCCTGCTGGCAATAGCTCATCTTAAGTGATCACTCTCCTTACAGTGTGTATGATAACACCCATTTTTTCATGTTCTGTGTGTATATAAATCTCCTCACTGTATTTTCCACTGAATGCATCCGATGAAGTGAGCTGTAGCTCACGAAAGCTTATGCTCAAATAAATTGGTTAGTCTCTAAGGTGCCACAAGTACTCCTTTTCTTTTTGTGAATACAGACTAACACGGCTGCTACTCTGAAACCTATCTTTAGTTCCCTTGAGTAACCTGGGCCTTGACATAGGGCAGGGAAAATATACGCTAGGTCAGTTTAGCTTAGATCACGTGTATATATTACTGACTCAGTATAGCGCTAGTCATGGGGAAGCTGCTTTTCTGATGACTGGACTGGCTGAAATAAGATAATGTTAGTGGTGTGAATTTGCCATAATGGTCTTTAATTGCTGATTGTTTGTCCATGTATTGACTTTATGAAAAAGCTGTCAAACTCTGTGATCACCTTGCTGAAAAGGTGGAGGATGGAACAAATTATGTAAAATGAAGTGATAAACATTTCCCAAAAGAAAATGTTTTGTGTATGTGTACGATTTCTGTAACTTTGTCCCAGTTATCCTGAAGCCATGCAACAACCAGTGAGCAGGGAATGCAAAGACACAGCCAAACTAAAAAAGCAAAGAAACCAACCAACAAAATCATGAGGGATATATTAGAAGAGAATTCACGATGAAGCACTTTTCCATAACTGATAGTTAATGTCTGTTGGGTCTTGAGCCACTGCTCTTTGGGCTTGATCCAGTGCCAATGATTGCCACTGACTTCAGTGGACACTCAATCTGGAACTTAGTGGGCAATGAATTTATTCCATGGACTTCAAAGGAAGCATTAGTTTGGGGTCATGGATAGAGTTGACACCACATGCCAGTGCACTGATTCACAGTATTTGATGATACACATTCATTTAAATCGATACTCCGCTAACCAGTTTAAAATTTGGATTGTCGTGTTTTTCCATCTTTCTGTGTTTTGTGCAGCACAGAGCATAAAGGCACTTAAATTATAATAAACTGTAGAGCAGACAGCGTGTTGAACAGGATGAGTTTAACTTCTGTGTCCCCCAACAATTTTTTTTTTTAATTCTATGGTTTGATTTGTTACAAAGGGACCCACTTTTCCTGGAATACAGTGTCAAAATGCACTGTATGTAAAGTGATCGATAATGGCCTTTGATTTACACAGAGGGAACAGCAAAAACATAGGGAGTTACTATTATACAATGAAATGTATTGGCAATAAAAGAATGGAGAGTCGCATATGTATAGGCTCCCACAACTCTTCCTGCCAACATCTTGTTTCTTATACATCTTGCTTCGCTAGTCAGTACTGCCTCACCTTTACTTCATCTCCTTTTTGAAGTCTAATTTTTGTGCCTTCTTGCCTTCTGCCCCTCACACTCTAAAATTCCCCCTGCACTGCTGCTGCTCCTGGCATCCACCTTCTGCTTTCAAAGCTCTCCTTAAAACACACTAATTTTGTGCAACCCACAGACAACGCACAGCAATGTAAATACCCAATATATTTAAAAAGACATTCAAAGGCAGACCTTTTGCATCTTGTGTTGACTGTATGCTTAACAAATAATACATACTGAATGCTGCACTGAAAGTCACTGTGAAGGTATACACTAGAAATAATTAGGGAATGCATTTAATAAATAATGCATTGATTATATTTTCTTCCTATATTGATTTGGTCTATCTTTTGGGTTTGGCCCAAAGAGTCCATTTGTGAGACTTCAGAGCATTCTCTCTTCCCTCCTTGTGCCAAAAGAACTCATATCCCCACTCCCAAAAGAGGATTAGGTCTGTTTACATTAACACTCAGATTGTTTAGTTCATTTAAATTTCTTTATGCTGAGAGCTCCCATGATGCTGGGTTGATTTCCTTAAACATGCACTTCTCTTGATCAGTTGTTACTTCCTTCCAAACCTTTCCCAGTCCGTTCTTCCCTTTTGGTGCCTTCTAGGTCACATGGCAGCAGTTCCAAATTGCACTAAAGCAAAGCTAGAATGTTGTTGGGAATGCAGCCTGCACAACCACATCTTTAACTATTCATTCTCCCTGATCTAAGATGGTGTAAGGCACACACCAGTTTTGGATTAAGACGATTGAAGGCATTTGTTGCCTTGTTTATGTTTAGCTACTTTATAGTTTCCCTTGTCAATTAAAATATGGAGCTGAAATGCAGAGTATGGCATCTTACATGCAACTGTCATCTACCAGAATATGGCTAATCTGAGTTGGTACAGGCGTGGGGCCAAATTTCATTATCAGTGTAAAAGCAGATTGAAACCTGTGCAACTGAGTCACAATTTGGCCCTTAGAACTTTAAAATTTCATCTGTCCTACAGAAAGGGAGGTGTTGATGGTTTTCTTTTTCTAAACATGAACTCAGTGTTGCTTAATGAAATTCATCTTTCCAGACAGGTGCAATTTTAATCCCACGACTATACCAGGAGTTTTATTATCACAGATATTCACTGTGACTGCCTTTTACTCTGCATATAACATCATACACCACATTGCAGTTGTCAGGAAAATGCTATTCATCACTTCTGGATTAAAGTCTTGTTAATGAAAAAGCACTGGGATTTTTATTATTTAGAGAAAAACAACAAAGTGTTAAACTTAATATTTCCCAGTAATAGCTATCTGACATATCCTGTATTTGGACGGAAGATGCGAGGGGATAAAGACCTACTAATTCAAACATTCTTGACTAAATTTAATGTTGTAAAATACATTTGTTACAGCTGCTAATTGGTGGTTATAGAGTTAAGTAAATGCAGTCTATTAGTGGACTCTGTGTGGGTGCAGATGTGTGTGTCTGTGTGAGAGAGAGACACACACACACAAACCAGGCCTCTCTCTTACTAAAGGGAAATTTCTGCACAATGTCAGTTTCATTATTTCCCCATGCTTTACATAGGAGTCATGCAATGCTACTATTATTTCATTAGTTCTGGTAAAGTTTCCCTTGTTTATCCACGATCAAAGGAATACACAGTCAGAGGGGTTGCAGGAACTGTAGATCAGTGGTCTCCAACTTTTTTTCCCACGGACTACCTGAAAATTGCTGAGGGGCTCGGCCGACTTTCCAAATGTTGTTAATGATCTTTCCAAATGTTGTTTTTACCGTTAGCTAACTATTGTAAAACACTTTATATATATTAAAAAAACCTTAATAATAATGTTTTTGTGCTCTACAAATAAAGGCACACAACTCATATTTTAATATCAGTTGTCTTACCTTTCTAATGTGATGGATGTGCCCTCTCTCCCCTGCCATGGCAGCCCCTGAGCTGGGGCTGAGAAGGAGGGGGGACTCTGCCCCGCCACAGCAGCCACAGAGCTGAGGCTGGGAAGGAGGGCCATCTCTCCCTGCCAGCCGCAGCCCTGGAGTTGGGGAAAGTCGCCTCTTTCTCTGGCTGCTGCAGCCCTGCACATCCCAAATTCACCCCACCCCTTCTTTTCACCCCACTGCCCCCTCCCACCTACCCCATATTCCCCCCAAGTCTACCACCTCACCTCACATCTCCAGGATCCAGGCACCTAATTAGTGGAGCCCTGCCTGCGCGGCTCCACTAATTGGATGGGTGGCCTTTCATTCTCTTGTGTGCAGCCGCCCAGGCACGCACCTTAGAGGGAACTATCCGCAGACTACCTGAATGGAGCTTGTGGACCACTGGTGGTCTGCGGACCACAGTTTGAGAACCTCTGGTGTAGATGATACATTTAGGACTTTCACTGCCATAAAGACTCTTTTTTTTTAACCTGCATCTTTATTGGAGCTGCTTTCCATACTGTCTTTTAAAAACCAAGTTGCGACAAGCACTACTTCCTGTTGCAGCTGTGTGAATTAGTAACAGAGGAAAAGGCAAGGGTGATAACACTTCTGCATTTAATGGCAACAGACTTTTGATTTTTTTTCATGAAACATAGTCATCTTTTACTATATAAGGCCATAGATTGTATGAGTGAGTTGTCATAACTCAGAGTTTTATACTTATCAAACAGGAAAGATGGGCTTGTGGTGAAGGCACGAGTCTGGTACTCTTGAGAGCTGGATTCAGGTCTGTGTCAGACCTCTTGTGTGATCTTGAATATGAAATAATGAAATAATTTAATCTCTCCCTCTCTCATGTCTTCATCTGCCAAACAGGGCTAACGAAACTTTCCTATTTCACAGCAATGTTAGAAGGATAATCATTAATGATTGTAAGATGCTCAGATACTAGTGATGGAGGCCATATAAGTACCTACATATATAGAACAAGCCTTTTCTGGTCTTCCATACCTTGTTGTTAGATTGCGGGTGGAGAGATAATCTAATAGAAACTTTAGAGTTTAGAAATGGTTAGGGAAAAGTCATTACACTATCTGCTCCAGCAGTTTTTCAATCATAAGTGAGTGTATGTTGTAGAAGGGCAGTCCATCCACTTCCATTTCGAGACTGGCAGTTACTCCACTACGGACGCCATGCTGTATAAGTGTTTTCAGCAACTTTTCTTCCTAAAAAAAGGTATAATTAATATATTATTAATGTACCTAATAAGGCAAAGAAAGAGTCCTCAAAATCTTTCAATTAAACATTAGAAGACTGTGACCATATCTTCCTAAGAATTTATTTTGGCTAGCAGTATCAAAAACATTCCCATTCTAAGGGGACCAAAGGGTACCTTTGGTAGCAGGAAATGCAAGTGCTAAGGAATTAACAAAAGCCAGTATTCATAGATACCCTTTAATTACTGAGCAATGTTAATGGTACCAAACCAAAAGCACATTAGTTTCCATTCCGAAATTTCAATCCACTGTGTTGAGAATCTGGCTAGCTTCATGTTAGTAAATTTCACAAAGTAGAACCAAATACATATTCACACAAAGCATCTTAAAGACTATCTGGTTCCCCCAGAAAATAATGGCTTAAAGCAGCCTGGACATGACTTGTCCTTTTAGGGCTAATCCTAACTGACTGCTTTTAAGGGCTAGGGCTGGCTCTGTGTGTGTGTGTGGGGTCTCCCCATAAGTAGCATACATTCACCTGTGGAAGGGCTTCTGCTACCCTTTGGGATTCTCATCCCTAACTAACTTATTTCCTGATATATACAACCATCAGAAACAGACAGATTTTAAAGAAAAGGAACAGGGGAAAAGAGAACAGATGGGGAGAAAGAGAAATAGAAAATACTGGGATAATCTGTGCAACCTATATCCAACTTTGCACAATGATCAGCACGCTCAGCTTCTACTGATTTCAGTGAGAATTGCGGGTGCTTAGCACCACACCTGATTGGATCCTAATGCAATGAGAGGAGAAACAGGAAGGAAAGAAAAGAAACATTTTCAGTAATTGTAGTTTGCTTGATACAAGAATTCATAAACTAAAAATATCAAGTATTCCCTTTCATAAAATGTACACTATTCGTATGGAAATGTTTCAAACCCTACTGATTACAACAGTTTTACTACAGTGTTTGGATATATAAATGAAGTATACTGTAGCATTATTATATGTATGTTTAATGTACTTTTGTGTGTGATTACATTTGAAATTTTTCTGGAAGCATTGGAATAGTCTCCCAAAGCCAATTAACAATCAAAAATTCGTTATCTGGTACCGTTTTTTTTAACTGTACCCCATAATGATTGCTATCTTTCTTAAATTTCCTGATCCATGTGATATATTTCACAGCCAAAGCAGTCTTAAATAAATCACAGCTTTTACAGTAAAGAACCAGAAAATGCCTAGTTACATTATGTCAAACTGTACACAGCAATCAATCAATCAACTTATAGAAAGCATCTGGCTTCATCTTTTGCAAAAGTGCCGATTTTCATAAGACAGTGATGTGATTCTGATCATAACTGTACTTTAACATCTAAATATATTGTGACAGGGTCAGGTCAGATGGCTACAGGAGAGTGATAGAAGGCAGATATATTAGCCCCAGGTTAAGTAGGTCCCTTTTCCCTGGGTAAGGCAACAGGGAAGGTTCCAGAACAATCAGGAACTTTCTGGAAACAATTAAGGGAGACAGGCTGATTAGAACACCTGCAGCCAATCAAGAAGCTGCCAGAATCAATTAAGACAGGCAGGCTAATCAGGGCACCTGGGTTTAAAAAGAAGCTCACTTCAGTTTGTGGTGTGCGTGCGAGGAGCTGGGAGCAAGAGGCACAAGAAGCTGAGAGTGAGAAGGCTTACTACTGGAAGACTGAGAAGTACAAGCATTATCAGACATCGGGAGGAAGGTCCTCTGGTGAGAATAAAGAAGGTGTTGGGAGAAGACCATGGGGAAGTAGCCCAGGGAGTTGTAGCTGTCACGCAGCTGTTACAGGAGCCACTGTAGACAGCTGGAATCTACAGGGCCCTGGGCTGGAACCGGAGTAGAGGGCGGGCCTGGGTTCCCTCCATTCCCCCAACTCCCTACTTAATACCAGAGGAGTTGATCTGGACTGTGGGTTCCACCAGAGGGGAAGGTCTCTGGCCTGTTCCCTGATCCACTAGGTGGATCAGCAGAGACTGCAGGGATTGTTCTTCTTCCTTTTCCCCATGCTAGCCAGTGAGGAGGCTAACTGAATGAATGGCAGATTTGAGCCACGAAAGTGGCCAAACTGAGGGCTGCCGTGAACCTCTGAGGTGAGCAAATAAGCGCAGGACCCACCAAGGCAGAGGAGGAACTTTGTCACAATATCAAGTGCAGAATCCGGTTGTAAATTTAAGTATGAGCCCTTTCCCCATGCAAAAAGTGTTGCTGAACACAAAATGATGTAAACTAAATTTCTCCTCTTGATTCATGAGGGAGAAACAAACTAGATGAATTTATTCTCATCTTGTAGCTATAATTCTTTTACCTTTAGCAAGTACATTTTACTTGCTAAAGATCTCTGGCCTGACTACACTGAAAAAACTTCTCCTGTTTAATATGATGTGATTGTCTTTGATAAACTATATTCTACTGTCAGACGTGTTACTGTGTGTGTCTGTCTGTAATGGGCAAACACAATGTGTAACACCTTTCCTTAGCTGTGGAGTTCTTTGCAATTCACTCTCAAACCCATGTTTACAAAAGTACGTTAAACTGAGCGCAAAAATTAGGGCAACAAGAGATTCAAATTTAATAGAAGAAATAGCAAGTAATACAGTAGAAATGCACTAATTTGCACTAGTAATGGGGAAAACCCATTTGTGAATTAACAAGCAAATAAATAATAGCAAAACAAGGATAGTACATCTTTATATATTGTTCGTTTATGCAGACAACTATAGTTCAGCTTGAATTTGTGATAGTACATAATGTATGAGTGAATGATGTGTCATATATTTTGTAATACTAATAATGAAATTTTAGCAATACAGCAACTCCCAAAAGAAATGGTTCTTTGAGATGTAGATCTACTGGAAGACGAAACTTACTCTAGCGGTGGTTCTTCAAGATGTGATACAGACACGTATTCCACTTAGATGCATGAGCACACGGCATGTTAGAGCTGGAGATTTTGCCTGACAATACCTGTAGAAGGGTGGCACCTCATGGCTGTGGCCCCTCCCCTGGCTATATGAGACAGCGCCACCCTGCTGAGTTCCTTTGTTCTGAATGCCCCTGAGAGAAGACTCCGATGCAAAGGAGATGGGGGGTAGGCTGTAGAATACACATCTGCATACCATCTTGAAGAACCACCGTTACAGTAAGTAACTGTTTCTTCTTCTTCAAGTAGATGTAGAAGTGTATTCCCTTTAGGTGACTCACAAGCAGTACCCCGTCCAGGAGAGGCGTGCTAAGAGTCTATCGAAAGAGGGATCACAGGACTGTTCTTCTTAAAGCTTGCATCCACCTTGGAAGATGCGGTAACAGCATAATGGTCTGTAAACGTGTGTATGAATGACCATGTGGCAAATATCAAATATGGAAAAGTCACTGAGGAACACTATCACCATTGCTTGCACTCTCATCCAATGAGCCCATATCAGCTGAGGAGGTGCAGTTCAAGCTATCTAATGCACAATCTTGATACAGGATGCTATCCATCTGGAGATGGTCTGTGAAGAGACTGCTTGCCCCTTTGCGCAGTCTGCATATGACATGAACAGGTGAGGCAAAGCATGAAACACTTCAGTCCTAACCAGGTAAAAGGCTAGACACTGTTTGACATCCAAAGTATGGAGGTACTATTCCTCTGGGGATGAATGTAGCTTAGGAAAAAATACAGGTAAATGCACCGCTTGGCTCAAATGAAACTGAGACCCCACTTTGGATAAAAACTTTGGGTGTGGTCGTAAAGTTACCTTGTCTTTGAAGAACTGTGCGTAAGGAGGCCCATCCATCAAGGCCTGCAACGCATGCACCCTCCTTGTAGATGTAATGGCTATGAGGAATGTGGTTTTCTGAGACAAAAGGGGCAGTAGACAGGAAACAAGGGGCTCGAATAGAGGGTCCATTAGAGCCACCAGAACTGTGTTTAGGTCCCACAAAGGGACTGGCTCTTGGACGAGAGGATGTAAACGGAGAAGTCCTTTTTAGAAATCTTGTCATCAAGGCATTGGAAAAGATTGAGTTTCTGTGAACATGAAAGATTGCTGCCAGATGCACTCAGTGAACTGACTGCGAGGCCCAATTTCTGTAGATGTAGTAGGTATTCCAAGGTATCCTGGATAGAAGATTACATCAGTTGGATCCCGGAGGCCAGAGACCACATGGAAGACCTCTTCCACTTTGTTAAGTAGGTCATCCTAGTAGAGGACTTCCTTCACAACATGGGGAGTAGATGGCCAGCCCTCTGTGGAGAAAGAGGTGGTTAGGGACTATTTAGAAAAGCTGGACGTGCACAAGTCCATGGGGCCGGATGAGTTGCATCCGAGAGTGCTAAAGGAATTGGCGGCTGTGATTGCAGAGCCATTGGCCATTATCTTTGAAAACTCATGGCAATCGGGGGAAGTCCCGGATGATTGGAAAAACGCTAATGTAGTGCCCATCTTTAAAAAAGGGAAGAAGGAGGATCCTGGGAACTACAGGCCAGTCAGCCTCACCTCAGTCCCCGGAAAAATCATGGAGCAGGTCCTCAAGGAATCAATCCTGAAGCACTTACATGAGAGGAAAGTGATCAGGAACAGTCAGCATGGATTCACTAAGGGAAGGTCATGCCTGACTAATCTAATCGCCTTCTATGATGAGATTACTGGTTCTGTGGATGAAGGGAAAGCAGTGGATGTATTGTTTCTTGACTTCAGCAAAGCTTTTAACACGGTCTCCCACAGTATTCTTGTCAGCAAGTTAAAGAAGTATGGGCTGGATGAATGCACTATAAGGTGGGTAGAAAGTTGGCTAGATTGTCAGGCTCAACGGGTAGTGATCAATGGCTCCATGTCTAGTTGGCAGCTGGTGTCAAGTGGAGTGCCCCAGGGGTCAGTCCTGGGGCCGGTTTTGTTCAATATCTTCATAAATGATCTGGAGGATGGTATGGATTGCACTCAGCAAATTTGCGGATGATTCTAAACTGGGAGGAGTGGTAGATAC